TTTTATTTCACAGAACGATAGAGGAAACCTTACTCTTTCTATAGAATACCATCTTTACAGCGGAATCCATGTACCAGGTAGGGAGTTTTACTGTTGAAATTTGCCAAAATCGAGCTTCCTGATAATGCTGTTTGGGAGGGTAAATTTGAAATTTTTTTGAAAATTAAGGTTTGAATCTTTTCCAATTCTAATAACGGTACTTTGTAAAGGAAGGGTCACTGAATTGCGTAATATTGAAATAGTTTTGATAATTGTTTTAGTTTTCTTACACGAGTGGCAAATATGAAGCACATTTTTCAGTGGTTCGAGGGCTTCTCCAAGGGTGAAAATTAAAAAATCGCTTTACTTAAAAAATATAAATCCAAACGAACTAAAAGTTGTATTTTCCTAAATAGTTTCCAGAGGGCTTTCTTGTGAAAAAGTTTGAGGGAATTCGATTTATGCATTTTGCACACGTATCCGTAGTATTTACAGGAAGTCACTCTTAAATACAGGCTGTAAATTAAAATTATTTTAATTCACAGAAAGGTTTTGTTTTCTCAATTGTACTCGATTGCCTTTTGTTGAGCATCAGCTACTGAAGATACGTCGTTTCATTACTCTTACACAAATTTCGATTATTTTAATCCTGCTATAGATTTTTCAAAATGGCAACTTTCATCTACGTTGGGAATCTCATCCTACATATTTTAACAATCTTCCTGCAAGGTAAGAATTTTTTAAAGTAGAAAACTAAGATAAAAAAAGAAAAAAAAATTAGGATTTAATTTCAAGCGAGCATTGTTGTTAAGTTTGGTTTCATTTCCTATTTTCTCGAGTCCATTGTTGAAGTCTACCACTCTAAGACCCGAGTCCAGCTCGATAATTACATTGGTTCGCGTGGATATTTTTTTTTCTTATGATTTTCTAGACGCCACCTCGAGCAACTGGAACATAGCTGACTCGGGTACAGCAAGGAAGAGTGACGTGATAATGCACGGGAACGGGCATCCAGTTCAAACAAAGCCTGGCTTACAAACTCTGGCTGTGCACCGGAGCGTGGACGCCTCAAGTAAGATTCTTTAGCCTGAAAGCTTACTAAAAATGCCAGTATAATTGATGATAAATATATGCAGATTATAAATTTATAATATGTGCTAGGTGTTTGCTCTCCTTTACCCTGAAGAAAACCTTCAACAAAGCTTCTCAAACTCATTAATAATTCATAAGGTCAACTACCAACCACAAGATGTATACCACATCACGTGCATGTGTTTGGATACCCAATGAAAAACAGTATACCACTCTCCAGTGAGAGCGGTATATACCACTAAAATGTGCACAATGACAACTTGCACAAAATCAATGAATATTTATTACTCAGAAGTAAGCTTTTACAATGTGTCTCCTTTTGTTTTCAAAGTCACAACCATTCGCGTTGCTTCTTTCATTTCTGCATCCAAAACACGCCGAAATGTCAGAAACCTAAGAAAGCGAAAGAAAAAAAGTAGTATTAAAAACAATGCACACAAGTAGTTTACGCGAACCAAATTTTATCCCCAAAAAATGTAACTTACCTT